AATCTACTAAATCTAATGAATCTAACGATTCTATTAAATTTGCTATATCTAATATATTTACTATATCTACTATATCTAATAAATCTACTATATCTAATGAATCTACTACAATTACCTGATTAATTATATACAACCTCTAAATAATTATGCAATTGATCCACTAATTTGTGCCTAATGTATCATTGATCTATTTCTAATTGTTACAATAGTCAGAAATACAAAAGTAGTTGTGTATAACAAGCTTTGTAATTATATTCATCTATATAATAGATAATCAAATAATTAATTGATAATCCATTTGTCATCTGGAGGGGATCTGCAAAATTTTATAAGTAAAATTTACTATTAACAGAAATGTGGCAAGCCTAAATCTAAAACTTTTTTTATTAAGACAATCAATCTTGTCAATTAATTGAAAGTTGTAGAGCTCATCAAGACATATCTAATAGTGGTAAAAGTGTCAAAATTGGCCTAGTAGTTCTTGAAATATCTTTAAAAAACTTTTTGCACACATATAAAATTTCTTTAAAAAAGAAGACTTTTTTTAAAAAAATTTTATATGTGTACAAGATATTTTTTAAAGATATTTTAAGAACTACTAGGCTAATTTTGACGCTCTTACCACCATTAGATGCATCTTGATGGGCTCTACAACTTTTAATTAATTGACAAAATTGATTGTCTTAGTAAAAAAAAAGTTTTAGATTTAGGCTTGCCACATTTCTGTCAATAGTAAACTTTACTTATAAAATTTTACTGATCTCCTCTAGGTGACAAATAGATTATCAATTAAATTAATTTTATCAGTTGCATTAAAAATTTTATTATTTGCATTAAAATATATACTCTGGCATAATAAATCTAACAATATATTGTATATAATAATAAATAAGTTTGTAGCCTTAGTGGTTATGAATAAAAAATCTTTTATTTGTATGATTCAAAAAGCATATACCTTAAAATAAAAGGCTACAGCTATTATATTATTGACAATGTAGAAATTTTGTCTGAAGAGGATTTAGAATTATTTAATGATGAGGAATATAAAACTGATAGTGTAAATACAGAATTAACTTTATTTAATTATTTTAATTCGAATTTAAAATAATTATTTTATTACAATAGGATTTACCTTCAGAAAATGAAGCTTTGAACATTGAAAATAATATAACAGCAATATATAACATGTGTAATAAAAATATAGTAATTTATTTTACAAAAGAATTGATATTGCAAGTTGTTCATCATATGTTGACATCTATAGAATATCTTGCTACAAGCCCAGAAGGTGTTGTATATATATTAATGTAGAGGGTTGGAAAGAACCATTAGCAGCATTTAAAGATATAAATAATATAATTTAATTTTTTAAATAATTTTAATAAATTTTAATTTATTTATTAAATTATTTAGATTCAATATTCAATTGGTAAATCTGAAAGTTAATACAAAGTTATGTGTCCCTATATTGGTATTGAAGTTAAATGTGAAATGCAAACTTGTCAAGATTCCAAGCTTTGTATATTTGCTGCTGCTAAACTTTATAATAAAACTCATCAAGATGTAGATTTGAATTCTGATTTTGTATTATGAATTACACAAGAAATTTTATCAAATAATATTGATAATAATACTTTTGAGTAAGTTAAGATTTTAATTGATAACTATAATTAAAAAATTAATTAATATGTATTAATTAAATTTTGTAATAGATTTTATCTTCTATTCAAAAAATATCATGTAAGTTTAAAGATAATGAAATACTATGTGAAGGAAAACTAGTTTTTTGTTGTTTGACATGTCATAATTCATCAGAAGCTAGATATTTTATTGGCTGTACCAAATAAAAATATAATGAAAAAATAATTTGTTTCTCAAATATTATTTTAAAACTTTTGTGCAATTTGTTTAATAGTACTTATGAGATAATATATTATTGGATTATTAGATTTTATAAATTAGTTTTACTTTTTAATAAATTATTTTAATTATATAGTATATTCTAAATATCCAAGTTCAATCTTTAAATAATGCTATACTGTATTATCTAATTTATCAAAAAAAAATATTGTGGTATGAAAAATATTATTGATTGATGATCTGCCACTTAACAAATGCATGATTACAGTGTAATGTGATGCAGATCACTATATAAATCCAATATAGAGTAAATATAGAAAATTTCTAATATTTATTTAAGGAAAACTTTTTTCGTACTAAGTTAATCGACAAAGTCAATTAACTTAGTATAAAAAAAGTTTATTTTTAAATAAATATTGGAAATTTTCTATATTCACTCTATATTGGATTTACATAGTAATCTGTATCACATTACACTATAATCATGCATCTATTGAGTGGCAGATCATCAATTAATATATTATTTTTTTTAATAAAATTTATATTTATTATTATTTTTTAGCATATGTATATAGATCTAAAAATACTATTTGTCATAGTTTTATTATTAAAAAAATCTTGTAAAGTTGAATTTTATAAGCTTACACTATTAAATTTTAAAGAATATTCATTTGTAATTTTAATATATAAAGAAGTATATACATACTCTTCTTCTTCTCCTATATATTGTGAGAGGCTAAATTGATTTCTAATATTGAATATAAGTCTCATAGATATCAACTATAGCGAAACCAATCCAAATTTATAATCTAAAACTGCTAAAACTATTAAATCTATCTGGACTCTAATGTGAAAGGTATAAAAGAGGACATAAAAAGACTTGGCCTAAGTTATTAGAGCTCTAAACTATGTTACAAAGCTCTAATTTAGAATTATAAAATTAAACTATTAATGATAAATGAATTTGGCTTATCAGGAAGATAATTAAGCAAAACATTAAAGGATAGATAATAAACTCTTCATTGAGTTAAACTTTAGTGAGATATTCTAACTCTGAGTTATTATTTTATTTAAGACAAGTTAGAATCCCTTATATAAGGAATTTACAGACTAAAAAATAAGCAATTTACTATCTTACTTTGCTTACTTCTCTTACTTCTTTTACTTCACTTACTTTCTTTACTTTTCTTACTTTTCTCACTTTTATTAACTAATTCTAACTATAAAAAAAATTTCTATTGTCATAATCAAAAATAATCCAATCATAGTGTAGTGCTATGCAAAAATTATTTTGAGCTATAATTTACACTTTTATACACTTCTCAACTTAAGTTTAAGTTTCATGAGAACATATTAACTCCTTTTTGGCTATGCTAGACCACCAACTACCTAGACTGAATTTTGCATTAATGTCAGATTTCTTTACTTCAGGTGAGTTTCTTTTTGCTTTATGTTTCATTTGGTAATAATATCTAATACTGTATATCTTGTACAGGTTCTATTTATGAATACACTTTGAAATTTCTCTGGGCTTCTCTTGAGTTTTATCCAGTAGGTAATGTGAATATTTTCTTTCTTCTTTCTGTCTCTTTTTCTTTTTCAAATCTTTATCAATTTCTTTTATATTTTATACATTTTGTATTCATGCGCCCCACTTTCACACATAACTGTCATGATCTACTATATTTATTTTCATCATGTTCATTTTAGTTGGTCATGATTTTGATTTTCTTAATCAATTGTAAACTCTGTTTACAATATCATATAATTGCAATTTGTAGTTAACTTTATACAATTAATCTTTTATTTCATCCTGTTTAACTCCAACTTTACTTCAGTAGCCATTACAAATATCCAATACTTCTTTTGACTTTAGCAGTTTTATTCTACTAGATTCTTTATTTTGTGGTCTTTTTTTTCACTAGTCACATTTAATTACTTTCTTTTTTTTTTAATATTAATAGATTCAATTACTTTCTTATTTCTTCTATATTATATCTCCTGGTAATTCTTCAATATATATATTTTGTACTTGTTATGAACTTTATTTTGATTATAATAACCTTTTTTAGAAATCTCTTCAGAGCTTATTTTTGCATTTTAGTTCATAGATTGCTTCCTTTTGTCTTGGCATATAGTCTCCCAGATTCTATTTAAGTTTTTTTTATTTATTTATTTATTTTATTTATTTTATTTATTTATTTTTTTCTACTTAATATATGCTGCCAATCAGGTTGCTGAATATGCAAGACCAAATTATCATTTAATGATTTCTTTAATATTATATAACTTATTAAATGGAGTTTATTCAATTATATCTTCATATTTCTAGAAATTCTTTTACACAATCATCAATATTTTTATTTCACTTATTTATCTTGTTGTTATATCTGGCTTGTATAATAAGCATCATACTAATTGCATGTTATCTTTATTATAATATGTATATTTTTCCATAATCAGAGTTTCGATGAAGACTATCATGAAAAGAGTTCTTTCTATACCATTAATTTTCATTTTTTTCTATGTCAATTTCACAACAGTAACAAATGACAGTATTCTGAATTCTCATAGAACTTCCAGCATTAGCAAACTTCAGATATTATTTAATCTCTTTATGCTTATCAATTTTGACACCAATTCTAAAGTTAGAACAATAGCTAACTTGATAGATTCCATTAGAATTATTTATTTCTATCAATTTTTGATAATATATAAATACTTTTTCTCCATCTTTTTCAACTCCAATTCCATATTTATATATTTAATTATATTTATTGTATCAGCATTTCTGATTTCTGCAGGTCTTTGACAACTATTGAATGTCATCAGTTGATATTTTTTAATTTTATTTTGATTCTTGTATTCATGGTAAATATTTTTTATATCTTTAATAAACTTCTTGGATTTCTTTTCTTCATCCTTATCAAGAGTTACCAAGGAAAATTAGCCAATTAAAAAAAGAAATTAAGCCTTATAAAGTCAGCCAAATTTGAGCAAAATTTATTCTATTATCATGGTCTATATCAGCATAGGCCTTATCCTCTTTGGGTCTAATTCTATAATAATATCCAACATCAAATTACTTACTGTAATATCCATTTTTAGATAATTTCTAATTATAAAAAAATGCCATAGCTTTATTTTCTAACTTGCTCTTCATTAGCATATATAAAAGCAGTAGACTGAGACTAAATAAAATAATTTGTATATGATTAGATTGCTGGCCCTTTTTTGTTTTTGTCTATGCAAGATCTTAATTTTTCAAGCATTTTTAGCTTTTTCATAATATTTGAACTATATAAGCTTTTTCACTTTCGATCTACTGTTTTTAGACTCTATACCATTTCGATAGTTAATATGTATTCTACTAGTTCATCTATCTCTTCAGCTTTATTAGACTTTTCAATCCTTTTGTTAGTCTTATTAACATGTAGTTTTTTATTTTTGTCTGATTTTAATTTGACTTTTTCACAGTTATTTGGGTTTAGCCAATCTTCAGAGATCATATTATTATATAGATACCAAATTTCATTATCATTATCAGTATTAGCATTTTCAGGCTCATCGAGATAACCCTTATTCAGACCCAGGACTGTATTAAACTCTTTATTTTTAGCTTCAATTCTTCTTTCATAACAGAAACCAAGAGTATACAATCCTTTGGTCCTGTTCATTTCAGCAGCTTTTTAATAATAGGTGGGTGTCTCATATAGGTCTTTTTAGTATTTTTTCAATTCTACTTTTATCCAAGTCTAATTGAGCTAACTCAGAGCCATCTTTCACAGAAGATGCATATGATAAATCATTCCTTTTAGCTGATTGTTGATAATAAGTAGATGTTTGTACTCATTGTTTTTGGCTCCAATTTATTTATCGTAATAGGAATCTAATTCATCATTTTGGTTCATCTCAGCAATTTTTAAATAATTAATAAAGGTCTTATGCTCTTTCTTTTTAGCTTCAACCTTTTGGTGAGTATTCTTTTCAACTGCTTTTTTATTACTATTTATTCTTGACTCACTCTTCTCTTGACTTTGATGGAATTTATTAAATCAGTATAAAAACTCCACACAATGATTCAAAAAAAAATATGTATATTGTAATAATGACAACTATTCATTTGATTATCAACTATCTAAAAGAAAATGACCTTAATGATATAACTGGGTATTTGTTAAAATGTTTAAAAAAGAATACTGCAAAATTTTTAGAAAGTTTATTAGATAAATTAGGTTAATGAATGTTATAAATATATAATGTAAATAGCTTTATTTGCAATTATTATATTTATTTTAAATATAATTTATACGAGGTGAGATAGGATTTTGATGAGATTAATATTTTATGATTATAATTATAATTATATTATAGACATAATTTTTATAAGTGTACAACTGTCTTCTATCTATTTATGCCATTTTCTTATTTTTTTTTTTTATCGAATATTTTATAAAAATAACATATCTTTTGAATTTTTACCTTTTGTAAAGTAAATTCATTGAGTACTGTATCAGTTCTACATAGTTGAATGGTTCCGATATAAACTTTTTGTAGGGATGTTATCCTAATTATTCAAACAACATTAGGCTGTGTGAGGCTGACGCAGTATTTCAGAAGCCATCCAGAGAATTAGCTTTACCACTTTACAACAATGTACATAAAAATTTTCTTTATATTATGCCTTACTAATAAAAGGCTTAATAACATACTAAATAATAACTTATGCAATTACAAAATAAACATTTACGCTCCTGGTTTTACCTTATAAGATAAAAAATAAAATAAATATTGTTCTACGTCAGATATATCGTAGATTGGGTGATTTTCGACCGTTACAATGTATTTACGTACAGTACGTGTACTAGAAGATCCTCTTTTTCTGTTCTGAATTTTCTATTGCTTGATTCTTTAAGTCAAGAGTGCGTTCTTAATGCCCTTTGTTCTAGAAGCTTCTATCATTTTAATTATCTGAACTTTTACACCAGATATAGTTCGTTGACATAGTTATTCACACTTGTACTGCTCATCACACACCTGTTCTTAATTTAAAGTTTTTTTCGATTTTTTTTGTTTTTAGTATTGGTAAGAGTAGTCGTTCGATCACGTGTATACCATCACTTTGCATTGTTTCCCATTATAGACTTTTCACGTGTGCAGACAAAAACGTGCTTAAAATCTATTTTTAAAAATGTGCAGCGTACTAATCTATTCTCTAAAATTAACACAGCGATCATTTCCAATTTTTATCGAAAAATCACAGAAATTACGTTAGTGTGATTAAACAAAATCGCGTAATTTTACATCATTATATTATACTGTTATCAATGTCAAATATATTTACTATTATATAAACCGATTAATAATAAAGCTGAACGGTTGATAACATAGTATAGTATGTTAAAGTGCAAAATAATTTAGTATTTAAAGTGAGAGTAGTATGTTTTAAAACCTAAAATAAATAAATTCGTCTTAAAAAAAAATTTTTTTATTAATTTTTTGATATGGTCAAAAAGAATTAGGTTTATTTATTTCATTATCTGATATAAATTTTTGATGTTTTAATTATGTTAAATAAATAAACATATCAGTTTTTATCAGTTTCTTTTGTTTAGTGAACGCTATTAAAACAGTATTTTTTAATTTACGATGATGAATCATAAACGGATCAGTTTTTTTTTTTATTGCTTAGTATATACAGTAATATCAAATCGCTCTTTGGGGGCATCCATAATTTACGTTAAACCAGTACTGTATTGTATAGAAAAAGAGACCTTGAAAATAATACCATATAGCATTATTTTTGTATTATCTCTAAGATCCCTATAACAACACTGGTTGCTTGACCGACTTGCATACTTATTATTAAAGTTGATTAGCTTCGGACAATCACGTAATTCGGAAATTTTCTGCCGAAAATTTCCGATCTGTCCTGATTTTCGTGTATAAAACATACTTGAATATCGATTTTCTAAAATTTCGTGTAAATCTTTTCTTTCAAATTTTGCTCATTTTTGCACGTACAAATAATAGTCTCATATAATTATACATATAATTATATCAAAATGATTTACGAAAATTTTCATCCAGATGAAAAATACACAACTCGAATTAAGAATATTTTGACTGAATACCCAGATGGTTCCCAAATCCTTAGAGAAATTTTACAAAACTCTGATGATGCGAAAAGCACTGTTCAAATTTTCATTTTGAATCATAAAACCTATCCTTCTAAAACGTTGTTTGATTCAAAACTTAAAAGATATCAAGGCCCTGCACTTTTGTCTGCTAATGACACAATCTTTCAACCTGATGATTTTAAATCTTTGGTTAGTTTGGCAAATAGCGAAAAAATCGATAAATATGATAAAATAGGAGGTAAATACTACAGTATCACTTTTTTTTTTAAAAAAAACTATAATTAATGGAATAAATTATAATACGTATTTGGGTTTATTACATTATATTAGTTATGGGCATCGGGTTCAATTCGATTTTCCACATCTCAGATGCGAGCTCAATTATTTCCGGATCTTCCTACGTTCTTATTGATCCCCATGCGCGAAAATATTGTGAAAGAGAAGCGGGTCAGAGAGGTTTCGCGACCAAATTCTTAAAACGTGATATGCTCAATGTAAAAGCCACTTTATATATATCAATTAGTTGTATTTCTTGATGCCTATTCAATAATTATTAATAACTATTTTAAAATATTTGCAATTTATATTTTTATTCATTAGCATCCTGATCAATTTGAGCCTTTTTTGGTTGAATTCATAAAATCAGAGTTAATTAAAAAGGTAAAAAAATTTTATTATTCAAGGCGACTTGAAATTAATTTGATTTATCGACAGTTATTGTGTTTGTCAGCATGACTTCTTAGTTTGAATTTAGAAATTAGATCGATTTTATTATAGTTTCCTTTATTTGGCTTTGGGTGTGATTTAGTAGATTTATACATGAGTGGGGATTGAAATATTTTCTCAGCATAAATAGAAATAATATTGGATCAACAACAAAAGGCACGTTGTACGACAATATGGGAATGTGGGGAAAATGGTCAAGTTTTTTCTAAGTAAAATTTTTCAAACTTCGAATTAAAATACTTCAACAACTAAAACCAATTTTTTAATTCTCCCGATTTTTATTATGTCACTCCTTATTCTCAAAGTTACAGCGATATTGATATATAAATTTTTTTTTTCTATTATTTAGAATCCCCATCAGTTCGATAATATTCCAGATGGGTTTCATAATGGAACAATATTTAGATATCCACTTCGAACTTCTAGGGATGTTGAGGAATCAGATATTTCCAATGAAGAGTACAAAACTGAACAAATTAAAGATTTGTTTGATATCTTTTTCAACGTTGACAATATTTCCTGCCTCTTGTTTTTGAAGCATATAGAAAAGATTATCTTTTTTGAACTTAAAGAAGATGGTGACAAACCTGAACTCTTGTATGAAATTGGAGTTGATAATATGAAGGAAATAATTCGTGAAAGGGAATTATTAACTAAAAATATGATATCAATGATGACATCTCCAACGGGTCAAGATTCTTTTGAAACGATTTATAAAATGAAATTTTTTCAAAAGGCTAAAGCTAAACGTATCAACAACAAAAGTGAATGGTTAATAGTTAATTATATTTCTAGCACGAATGATGAAAAATATATTAAATTCAAGAATCATATTCGTGATTGTAAATTTATACCAATCGTTGGATTGGCTGCACGAATTGACAAAATTACTAGAAATAAAGGAAGGCTCTACTGTTTTTTACCCTTACCTGATAGTTACGATGACTTTTCTGTTTCGATTAATGGTTGCTTTGCCGTCAGTAAAAACAGAAGACATTTAGAGATTTCAATGGATGAAGATCTGGTACTATAACACTAATAATTTTACTATTATTACTATCATCATTATTATTATTATTATTATTGATTTTTCATTTACAGAAGCCACAATATTTTTATCTTTTTTATAAATTTTAGGCACCAGGTGATCTATTACGTCTTAAAGGTGCATGGAATAGATATTTATTTGAAAAGGCTATTCCCGAAGCATGGAAGAAACTTTTAACAGAAATAGTCGAAAATGTTTCCCACGAAAAAATTTATACGTTTTGGCCAATATCAACTAATGGTTCTTCTCAAGAATTGGACACTAAGTATAGCTTATGGAAAAATCTTTTACAAGATCTTATTAATCTTCTCGATCCTAATCTTGGAGTTTTTCGTGGACCTTCAGGATATTTGTCAATAAATGATGGACATTTAAACGACAAGAATTTCTGCAAATCATCCGACCTATCCGAAATAATGGAAAAGCTAGGATTTCCTATCTTTGTAGAAATTCCAGAATCAATCGTTGCAAACTTAGAAAAATCTTTAAACTACAGAAATATTTTAAAATATATTACGCCAGAAAAAGTATGCGATTATCTTAAGAAATCGGACAAGCCAATAAATATTCTCCTTGATTGTCTTGATCGTCAGAAAAAATTAATTCTATTGGAATATATTCTTGAAGTGGATGATGTCTCTAATCTCCATGGAATTCCATTGCTTCCAACCGAAACTAAGGTCTTTATGACTTTTGAGTCGAAAGATAATCCTGAAAAATTTTTTTACATTACTAGCAGAAATGAGCATAAACTTATCGACAAAAATTATTTTGAATTAATCATTGATAATGAAATTGACGATAAGATTTTATCAAAATTAAAATCTTTTGCGAAAAATGAAAAAGATATTAATATACAAATTCTTTCAGAAATTCAATTTATAATGGTTCTTAAGAATTCATTAGATGGATATTCCGAAAATTCTCAAGAAATTCCAATTGGAAACAACAAAATTGAATGGATATATGAAATTTGGAATCATTTACTACAAACCAACAGAAATTTATCAAATTTTGAAGACCTTCACCTTTTACCAATCAAAAAAGATTATACAATTTTTTTGAGAAAATTAAATGCAACACCAAAATGTTTATGCCGTTCACAACATTATCAATTGATTGACAATGTAACAATTAATAATTTGATTCAAATATTCAAATTGTTAGGCTCTACCTTTATAAGCGATGAGTTTGAAAAAAAGATTGTTTCAAAACATCAAAAGTGGGTTTGTTTATTTATTAACTATTTTTATTTTGATTATAAAACAACTAAACGTATTTTTGCAATATTATAGGCTTAAAAATTATTTGATCGAAACCGATAACGTTATAGCAATCTTATTATCCCTCAAAGAAGATCAATCATTTCCAAAGAACATCACTGAATCCGATCTACGTACTTCAGAAAAAAACTTATTAATTAAACACATGGGAACTTATTTGCGGCGTGAATCTTATTTTGACACCAATCTAATAAAAGTGTTAAGATATTTTCCAATCTTTACCAAATTAAATGATAATAAATCTATAAGCATTGATTCAATAGGTAGAGAAGAACATTATTTGCTACCTAAAGATGATGAAAAATCATTCGGGCATATTATTTCACATTGCATATTTTTGGAAACTCATACTTCCGATGACATTAATTTTCTTCTCGAAAAAGTACTCAAAGTTAAACGATTAGATCGAAGAACGTATTGGAAAGATCATGTCATTCGGTATTTAGATGATCAAGAACCTGATATTCAAGATCGATTGGTTGAAAAGCTTTTTCAGAGATGGGCGGTTATAAAACCATTTATAAGGGGTCTTTCAGAAGTATCATTTGTTACAACTTCATCACAAAGGAAAAAACCAAATGAAATCTTTGATCCTAAAAACTCTCATGTAAAAAAATTATTCTTTTCGAACGAATCGTTTTTCCCGGCTGGAAAGTATTTCAATCAAGAATATTCTCATAAATTACAACTATTAGGAATGAAATACTCAATGACCGCGGAGGATATAATTAATCGAATAGATACTTATGCAAGATATAACACCGGTGAACGATATTCTAAGTCTCTTGAACTGTTGAAATATATTGATTATAATTATAAACATTTTATCCATGATTATTCACTCCGTAAAGAAATATTGAATAAGGTGTGGATCCCAGTCTTAAAAGAAGGTGAAAAAACATTTTCAAGACCTTTAGAATGTAAAGATGAATTGCATCAAAATTTAGTTTCTTATATAATGCCAATAGTTCAACATAAAATCAAAAATAATGATTTACGTCAAATTTTTGAATGGAATAATTATCCGCCGACAATGAAAGTAATAGAACAATTATTATATTTAACATATTTGATAAGGCAAAACCGCTCTAATTTTGCCACAAGAAATCAAATTTATGAAATTTATGGCCACTTAAACAATGTCGTTAAAAATCCAAATAATGAAATAAACCTTTGGAAACAAAAATTATCGGGAAAAAAATGGATTTTTAATGACGATAAAGTTTATTCAACTGATGAAATAGTATTTTCATCTATAATTAAAGGTGATACGGTTACGCTTTCAAATCACAATAAAAATAATTATTCGAAACTTTTTGTTGAGTTTGGAGTTAAACACAAACAAGATTATTTTGAAGCACTTAGAACTTATGAATTTTCAAATAAGACGCAAAAAACCATAATCGATATGATCGAACATTTATCTCATACAGAAGATGAAACTAAATTAAAAGAATTATTAATTCCAAACATGAACGGAAATATGGTCCCTTGCAAGAAATTATTTTATGATGATATGGACACTAGAGCTAAAGATTCAGATAAAGATTTTAATCTTATAGCACATCCGGCAATTTCAAGAAATATAGCAAAGAAATTAAAGCTTAAAAATTTCAGTGAAGAATTCTTAAAAAGTAGAATCGATCTTGTTCGGCAAAATGAGCATTTAACTGCAAACTTTTTGAAATCTATTCTCGAAGTATGTATTATTTTTATTAATCATTATTTTCGAAATTTTTTAATCTTATTAAAATTTTGAACACTTTTATAGAAATTTAATCACGATAATATTGTTTTCCAAGAATTTCTTAAGAATGCTGATGACGCAGAAGCAAACCAATTTTGTATCATTCTTGATGAGTGTACATATCCATCCGAATCTTTAATAAAAGAAGATATGAGATATTGGCAAGGTCCAGCAATATGGATATATAATGACAAAGAATTTTCATCAGAAGATCTTGAATCGCTTAATGATATTGGTCGATGCGCCAAGGAACCTGACAAAATTGGAAAACACGGGTTGGGATTCGCATCATGTTATAACTTTACAGATATACCACAAATATTATCAGGATGGAAGATAATATTTCTCGATCCACAAATAAAAATTCTTTCTGATAAACAATGTAGCGGCTCTATGTTTGATTTTGAGAACTACAAGAACGAAGAAAGTCACATAATGAAAGCATTTAAAGATCAGTTCGAATCCTATTTAAAACTTGAAGGTTGTGGGTTCAAAGTTGATTTTACCAAAAAATTTAATGGAACATTGTTTAGGTTACCACTTAGAGTAATTGAAAGTCCAATTTCTAACAAAGTTTATACCGCTGATAGTATTGAGAGATTATTGGATATTATAAAGAAAGATGCAATTTCTGAATTGATTTTCTTGCGTAATGTGAAATCCATCAAAGTATTTAGGAAAAGAAGTTTAAATAATGTAATGAAGACTTTATGGGACGTTGAAATTACAAATGTTTCCACTGGAAATCGTAATTTACTTGGAAAAGAACCACAAGTACTTAAGCTCGATGTTCAATATAATGAATTTGATAATCATAGCGGTGAAAAAAGTACATCAAAAACAGCCAAATGGATTATATGTTCAGGAGAGAAAGATAATAAAAATTTCTGGAGCGCGATTGCAGCAATTGTTCCCGAAGAACAAAATAGAGAAATTTTCATCGGAAAATTTTATTCTTATCTTTCACTTTTAAACTCTTCCGAACTTCCCGTAATTCTGCATTCAAACGGTTGGGACCTTTTACCAAATCGAAGAAACCTCTCAAAGAATAGCGTAAATAATATGAATATTTTAAAAAATATTTCTCAACTTCATGTAAAACTTTTTGAAGAGTTTGTGGAAACTGAGAAGCAAAAGAATGGTTGTTGTCAAATTATTTCTCAATTCTGGCCAATTCCCAAAACCGAAAATGATACATTTAAACTTAAAGAATATGGTCAAATGGTATTAGAACATTTATGCAAAAAAAATCCCGAGATATTCTGGTCTCCATATAGTGATGGCAAATACGTTAGCTTAACGAATAGTATCTTTATAAATGATCAAACACCACAAAATATCGTAGATTTTCTAAATCAATATGATCAACCTACAGTGAAAATTGAATCCGGGCATCTAAATGAATTTAAGGAAAAAAATGGATTTCGGCAAGTTAATCCTCAACTTATTCGAAATATCTTAAAAGATAATGAATATATATTAGATGATCCGGATTTGACATTATCTGAAAAGTTTTCTTTACTGAAATACATTCTTGAAGACAAAAACTATATAGATCTCGAAAAAATTTCTTTAGTTCCATTATTCAAAAATAATTTTGGAAAGTTTGGAACAGAAAAGAATTATAATCTCGCTACATTAGAAGAGCTAAATTTATTTCCTCAAGCTGGATTAGAATACTTCATTCCTGTTGATCTATTAAAATCACATGATTTGCTCTCAATATTTTCTGCCGAGGAATTTCGCAAAGCTACAAACATTCATATTTTTGATGAACCAACAATTAGACGGTTTTTACATCAAGAGTTGCCTCCTATATCAGAAAGAGATTGGGATCCATTAAATTCAGATTCAACAATTCCAAATCAAAAATGGCTTAACGAAATATGGTCTAGAATCTTAAAACATTCACTAGCACCATATAGATCTTTTCCTTTATTAGAAGTATACGACCCTAATAAACAAGACCAGCACCAATTGATTAGCTTAGAAAATGCAGCATGCAAACCTTTATTAGCTTATCCTTCTGGTTTCAATAACAGATGGGATGTAATTCAAACATTGGCAAATATCGGAATTCGATTTACTAAACAAAAATATAACGAAGCTCTCAATGAATATATTAAATTATTAAAACCCGATAATATATTAAATGTTATTGGCAAATATCGATGTATTGAAGATCAACTTATTGATAATAAAGAAGATAAAGAGAAACTATACCTATATTTTACCTTGAGATTGTCTCCGTCAGATTATCAGAAGTGTAGTAATAAACACATATTCGTGCTATTACCTATATGGCCAACACATACTTTAGATACCGAAAATCCAGTATTCAAATCAATTTCGCATACAAATACATATCTGATGCCTTCAGGTATAAAATCATCGAAACCATTCACTTTTTTTCCACAGAATTCTTTCACTTTTTATTACGATGTAACAAATGAGAGACGAAAATTATTAGAAGCTGCTGGAGCAAAAAAACGAAATAGATTAAGCTATTATAAAGAAACATTTGTTCGTGATATGATGGAAATCCTTCCACAGCAACAAAATTCGTACTCAGAACTTTTAATTGAGATGCTATCAGATAGTGAGAATCTTAATGTGATTAAACAATATATAAAGAATTTAAAAATTTTTCCAAATGAAAATTACCAACTTTATGTTGCAAGAGATTTATATGATCAAGACCATCCACTTCTTCAAGTTGTTTACAAAAACTCCAATCGATTTCTTCCTAAATGCATTCAAAGCAATCAACATTGCTTAAATGTGCTTGAAGAATTAGGATTTGTAAGAAAAGTTACTCCAGCAATATTTATCAAATGTGTCAAACATATTAATAAATTGTTTAATGACCGCATAAATAATATGGATGATCCTAAATATTTAGGAAGAACTGCTATTCGCTATTTATATAACAACCACTCTACATTAAAATTTTCTGAAGACGAATGGAAGGAATTATCAGAAATCAAATTCGTTCCAATCTCAAAGAAATTTTTAAAATACCCGTACTCATATAGTATTAACAACAAAATGGAAGAATTGGAATCTTTTGAAAATTTATGTCTTTCAAAATACAAAAATTTTGCATGGACTCAATTGGCATTTTTCGAAATTGAACCAACTGAGGAAGTTATAAAAAATTATGAGAAACTTGGTCAACCAACTGTTTCAAATATCATTAATCATTTAAGGACAATTCAATCCACACTATCTAAATCTGAAGATTGGGAACAAAAGGGTGATGAATTATTTGATATAATTCAACAAATTTACGAAAAATTGGATTCATTATGTGTCGAAAGTGATGATGATCTAGCATCATACTTTAATTCGGATGATCCTCCACTCTTTTTAAATGGTACAGACCCATTCGATTCGGAAATCTGGACTCCTGCCTCACATTTAGATATAACTATCAAAAAGGATTTTAAACCAACCAGAAAAGCTACCGAAGAATATCTTAAAAAATATAACAATCTTTTAATTTTAGCCGGTGCAAAAAAATCAAAATTACTGGAAAACGAAAGATTTAAAGGTTTTGAAGAAAAGAATACACAAAATTTAATTAAATCAATGATCGATTCCTTATGTATTGGAGAAAATACAAACGAACTTAATGATGTCTCATTTAATATTAATGGGCAAAATTTCTATGCAAATTCGATGATATTGGGTTGTGCAGCACCGTGTTTTAAAAGAATTCGACGATATAACTGTGATGATGTTGAACCAGATTCATTTCATATTTTATTACTATGGTTATATGGTGAATCGCTATCTCAAGCTATAAATAATATTGGAAGAGAGGAGTACGATGATGATTTTATTCAAATTTGTAAAGATTTGTTAAAATTAGCAATAGTATTTGAACTTGAATCGCTTAAACGGCTGATAGGACATAAACTATCTGCATACCTTAATATAAATTTGAACGAAGAAATTCTTAAAGAAGTGAAGTCTCTGGCTAAAAATGATGAATATAATCTAAATGATCTTTTAGATTATTGCGATATGTTAGAAAAGGAATACTGTTAAATTACAATGTTTTTACTATACCATTTTTTTTAATACGGTAGAATTTAGTTTTTTTTATATTAGTTACCGATTTTTTTTAATTTTTAATTTTGCTTAATATCAATTAATACTGTAATCGATTTCATACTCTAATATTAATAAAATTTGTTAATAAATTTAACCCATTGAAAATCTTATCTCGTATTTTTACGAGAGCATCCTCTTAACTGTTAAACGAAAGACTTTTTGCGCTGTAAATTTTATCCAATAATCATACATATTGACTTCCGTCAAAGTGTGATATAATAAAGATGTCGTACCATATAAGCGCGTAGTAACGCACATGGGTGTTATTTTGAAAATTCCATTTTTTTGAAAATCACATATTTGACACGAAATAACGCGCCCCACATGATTCGAATTATCGCGCATGTGCGTTCCGAAATAACGCGCATGGTTTCGAAATAACGCGTAAATTCGCGTTATTGCGCGCCTATACGGCAGTTATGTTGAATTCCAATTTATTATCAGTTTAATCCGGCAGGTATAATGGTAAAAACTCGTTATTTTGCTTTTACTGAAGTTATTTCACCAAACTTAAATAAACCGTTAGAAATAGTTAAAGTTGTATTAGTTGTATTACTAAAAGGTTCGTCTGGCCGATAATAATATTACATAGGAGGTACATTATTATTTAATAATTTTATTTAAATTTCGAATTAATTAAATTTTATGAGTGACCCATCACATGGGTTTTGGTAAATTTCCCCGACAACTATTTCACCGACACCCGTATTGCCGACGTCAAAATTCCGACAGACTATTACTTCGACAACTCATTTTTCCGACAATCTACTTTTCCGACAACCTATTTTACCGAATTCACTTTCCCGACTTCTGATTTTACCGACAGTCCATTTCACCACCAGTTCATTACACCGACAGCCCATTTCGCCGACAGTAATTTGCTAAAACCTAATATTGACAGAATAGATTATTGTAAATTTAACGTTAAGATAAAATTTACGTCATATCGAAGAAATATAATGCGCTATTTTAAGTCTTCGCTATACGCGGAAGGCATCCTAAAATCATTTATTTTTTAGAAATTTTTTAGAAATTTTCATAATTCGGCTATAAAAGTTTACCTTTAAATTAGACCAGCGTTCCTAATAGGATTAAAGAAACTATATCTACTAGGAAATTGGTGAGAATCTTTCGCTATAAGGAGCAAGGTTTAAAAAATAGAGGAAATTTATGAAATAATGTGAATTTCCCGTGATGGTGTGATCTACATCAGTTCACACCTTTTTTGAAAACAGCAATACTATTTATCATTATCGTTATCGTTATCGTTATCGTTATAGCACTTCACTTTGCAAAAAGGTGCGACCCTGTGATTTTCTTTGTGATAATGTGGGGGAAATTTTAAGTAGAAAATCTAATAAGAGAATTTCTGATAGAGTTACTGATTTCAAGTATGATTGCAAATTATTATGTATTCTCTAATTAAATTCTCTTATTAGATTCTTTATTAAAATTTCCCTCCGCATCATCACAAAAAATCATAGGGGTCATACCTTTCTGCAAACAGCGATAATAACAAATTAAATAAATTATCTCACATTTAAAATTTTAAGTTCTTTTTCTCCCTATTGTTTTACTTTTTAATGCATATTTCCTGACCCTGAAAAGTGGTTGAATATACAATTAGCGTAACCTCTCTCACTAATACGCTTAAAGCCACTACATTACGAAATATTCAAAATGTTTTTTTATAAATCTCTATTTGCTCCAAATATTCTGGCATAAAAATTTAATATGTTAATATATTTCATAAGGATATCATTATGGAATTAAATATTATTTTTCAAATTTTGCTATTTTAAATCTAATAATACCAGCAGTAAAAACATAAACTATACTAAGCTTAATGATTTTCTTATCTCTTCAAATACATTATGCACTGTATGTAAATAATCTAACTTTGTTGAATGTTCTTTCGTGAATTTCAATGGAATTAAATGTTTCATATTGCTAATTTCTTTGCCTTTAGGCCATTTGAATTTAAAACTTCATTTAACGTTATTTTCCCCGCACCTTCAAGGTTCCCCAAAAAACTAAACAATTTAGAGTATCGTAGAAAAATTTGGAAAGCTAGACAAACAATCAACATTAAACACGAGCACATCAGGATTTGATCTAATGTGAACCTAATTTAGGTTCACTTGAACCTACTGAACCTCGTTTAATTTTAATATTTGTTTAATTTTTCCTCTCTCCCCCCGTAAAACATGAAGAAATAACATTAAACGAAGTTTCAAATTCAAACGGCCTTATGTGATAAATATATTGTATCTTCCATATTCGATAATAAAAATTTTAAGATTGATATCTTATATGAACTATACGTCAGCTACATTTTTTATAGGTGATACAAAGTCTTCTCGATCCCACTATTCTAAATAATAATTTAATAAATTAAACTTTCCTATTACACATATTAATTGATCATAAAAAAGTATAAAGCTAAAAGTGACGAACCTTGTCACAAGGATCGTCAATTAAACTTTGGCCAGTACTTGTGCGATTTAAATAAAAAGAAAACAGTTCAAGAAAATAAAGAAACTTTTACCTGCAAGACCCTTGATATCTAATATTCAAAACTTCCTATCAATATCAAACTTCCGAGTTCGTTTTCTATTAAATATATATATTCGTAATTCCAATTTTTTTTATTTTTAGTTTGTCTCTCTATTAAAAGTTATACAGTTTAGTTAAAAGGACTATAGTAAAAGACGAAATACGAAAGAGAGCAAACTTACCACTGATCAAGAAAGTTTAGGACAAAATAAAAGTCAGAACGAATCATTCAAAAGTCACGATTGATCACTTCTTTTAAGTGTTAAAAAAATTTCTGAAATCTCAAAATATTTTAAAATAAGATAAATGTTAGAGATCTTTCGCGTGGTAAGCATAAAATAGCAATAGTTGCCAGGGAAATATCATATGCAAAATAGGTTATGACTACTAAATGTGATAAGTAATAACCTAATCACCGGTCAATACTCAGGAATCGTGAAATACAAGACCAATTCCAAATAGTGAAGCACGCATAAGAATAAGACGCATAATACCAAAGAAGGCAAGTACAAGAAGATTTCAGTATGGCATAGTTAACATGTTAAAGATTTATTATTAAAAAAAAAAAAAAAGATCCCAAATTAGTGAAACCTGCATCATCTAAAAAGGCAAGTATGAGGTTTTAGAACAGCATAGTTAATGTTTTAAAGATTTATTTAAAAAAAAAATTAATATCAAATTAGTGAAATCGCATCATCTTCTCCACAATTGAGTAAGGTGCATAAGACCATATAAGGCAAGTATAAAGAGATTTCAGAATAGAATAGTTAGCGTGTTAATGATTTATTTAAAAAAAAATCAATATCAAATTAGTGAAACCCATATTATTTTATCTCACAATTGAGTAAAGCGCATAAAACCAAAGAAGGCAAGTATGAAGAGGTTTCAGAATAGTATAGTTAATGTGTTAAAGATTATTAAAAAAAATTGATATCAAATTAGTGAAATCGCATCATCTTCCCCACGATTCAGTAAGGTGCATAAAAGACCAAAGAAGGCAAGTATAAAGAGGTTTCAGAATGGCATAGTTAATGTGTTAAAGATTTATTTAAAAAAAAATCGATATCAAATTAGTGAAACCTGTATTATTTTATCTCACAATTGAGTAAAGTGCATAAAACCAAAGAAGGCAAGTATGAAGAGGTTTCAGAATGGTATAGTTAATGTGTTAAAGATTATTAAAAAAAATCGATATCAAATTAGTGAAATCGCACCATCTTCCCCACGATTCAGTAAGGTTCATAAAAGACCAAAGAAGGCAAGTATAAAGAGGTTTCAGAATGGCATAGTTAATGTGTTAAAGATTTATTTAAAAAAAAATCAATATCAAATTAGTGAAACCCATATTATTTTATCTCACAATTGAGTAAAGTGCATAAAACCAAAGAAGGCAAGTACAAAGAAGTTTCAAAACAGTATAGTTAATGTGTTAAAGATTTATTAAAAAAAAATCTATATCAAATTAGTGAAATCGCATCATCTTTCCCATGATTGAGTAAGGCGCATAAAGACCAAAGAAGGCAAGTTAGTTAATGTGTTGAAGGTTTATTAAAAAAAAAAATCGATATCAAATTAATGAAACCCGTATCATTTTACCTCACGATTGAGTAAGGTGCATAAGGCCAAAGAAGATAAGTACAAAGAGGTTTTAAAATGGTGTAGTTAATGTGAGTATGAATGCGTAAAGTAAAACCTAAAGAAAAATAGGATGTGTTAGCCAGCTTCATATAAAAAAAAAAAAATTATAAAAAGGGTTTGAAATAAAATAATCTTCCAATATCTGAAAAGTTGATTAAAGCTAACTGCTAAAGGTTCTTCAATATAAAATAAAATTAAATAGTCGCTAGTTAGTTTTTTACCTTTTTTTTTTTTTAAACTATAAGGGAGCAACGATTTTATCCAGTAAACAATATAGAAAGAACAACTAAGATGAATCATGAAGTATGCCAATTAGTTGATTCTATTCGTGGCAAGACAAAACTTAATGTACGTGGATATTTATTAGTAAAAGATAAAAATCGGGATGAAAAGTATTATTGGTGTTGCGAGTATAAAAATACACTAAAATGTAGTGGAAGAGCGACAACGAACTTAGTAGGCGAAGAGCACTTATTAATGAAATTTGTCGAACACAATCATGCACCGATCGCAAGCCGTGTTGACGTAGTTCAAACACTCAATTCAATGAGAAATGCAGCTTCCGGAAGTTCAGACCCCCCCAGCACAAATAATTCAAAACACAATTACCAATATGCCACAAGATTCTTATTCATATATGCCAAATAACGATGCATTACGTAAACAAATAAGTTATGTTAGAAAAAAGCATTTACCTTCACAACCACAATTATTACAAGATATTGCTATTCCTATTAATTTACGTCAAACAATTCATGGGGAGCAATTTCTGGCTAAAGATATTGAATATGGTGAAGAAAAAATATTAATTTTCTGTACAGCGTCAAATCTTCAGCATTTACAAAATGCCAACTATTGGATAGTAGATGGCACATTTAAAACTGTGCCTATACTTTTTCAACAACTATATACAGTACATGCTTTAGTTGGTGGAAATAATAATGCAACTATTTTTCCTATGGTTTACGCCTTAATGACAAACAAATCTGAAGAAAGTTATTTACGCTTTTTTCAAGAATTAATTGAATTAGGTGAAACTTCTGGTTATTCTTTATCTCCACCATTAATTCTGTCTGACTTTGAACAGGCCGTTATTAGCGCATCTCGAATTAAATTTCCTAATACGGTTAACAAATGTTGCTTCTTCCATTTCACTCAAAATTTATGGAGAAGAATTCAATCTGCAGGGTTGTCTGTTGAATATGGAACTAATGAAGATTTAAGTATAAAATTGCGGTATCTTTCTGCACTTGCATTTTTGCCCTCGGCAGAAATTCCATCAGCATTTGACCATATTAAGGCTATTTTGCCTCCTAGTACAAACAGTATTGTTAAGTACTTTGAAGAAACTTATGTTTATGGGAGAGTATTACGACAACTTCAAAATGGATCAGTACTCCGTTCTACACCATTATTCCCACCTGCATTATGGTCTGTTCATGAGCTTGTTGAAGCAGGTTACCCCAGAACCCAAAACAATATAGAGGCATGGCACAATAGGTGGAATACTATTGTAGGAAGAGCGCATGTTGGCGTATATACTATCATTGAAGAAATGCGCAAGGAGCAAAATAAAACTGAATTGCAAATTGAAAGTTTACTTCGTGGAGGATCTGGACCCTCCCAATCTAAACGTAGCATTGATAATGAAAAGCGAATTTTAACAGTTTTTAATAACCGTAACAATTATTCTGTTATAGAGTTTTTGCGAGGAATCGCTCATAATATTTCGTTATAAATGATTTTTTATTTTTTTATTTTACTTTTTTTTTGGTCATTATAATTATTATGCTTTTATTTGCTCATAAAGGTTGGATAGATAGATAATGTGATAGGTAATTTAGATAGAGTACTAGTTCTAAAGACAAATATTTTTAAATTTTTATTTTTTTTTCATTGATATCTTTATATTCAATAAATATTTTCATATTTGAGTTAATATATAAAATTTCAGCAATTTATATTATTGCCTTTACAATATTTGCAGCAATATAAAAGTAATGGCTTCAAAAACTAGTAAAGATAATTATGCAAAGGGCGAGAAAATATATATACTCAATTATGAGGCATTAAGTTATCATTCATTGATTGAATCCTTAAAGATATTATTTATTAGAGATTTATCTATCTTGAAATAAATAACTCTTTATTAGAGCATAGCTTAGATAATACTTATATCGAATCATTTAATTACTGAATTAGAAATATCGATATAATATTTTGGCTTGCACATCTTGCTTTACACAATAGTATAACGTGATTAATTTGCCACTAAAGGTGGTGTTTTTCAGCATAGATCGACAAAATATAATTTTCTCGCAAATTCCAAAAGAGGTATAATCTCTTTTGTCATTTTTATATTACTAGAGCAAGAAGTACAGTATTTGTTTATAATTATTTATATTGTTCACAATTGTTTAAAAAACTGGTAAAAGATTATTCAGATGATTCAGATAAAATTGTCCTAATTTAAGCCTTGGTACGTACCAAACCAGAAACGGAAAAGTATAAATGTTAAATATAACGATAAATACACTATAATACTTGAATATATGTATATTGGTTTATCATGTAACATATTAGCTACATACTATAACTTGAACAGGATTTTAGATATTTAGAGATAAGTATCTATGTTCATGATTTTAATTCTACTGATAAATCATTAGCGTTAGGGTGTCTAATGCAGTATCAGTTTAATCACAAACATAGTGCAAGCTATATAGTGATGATTACTAATTAATTTTTTTCATGATTTACTATATCATGCTAGTTTTTATTTCTCAAGAAGTATTCAATATTTTTGATTTTGTAAATTGTATCTACAAAGTGACAACGTTAAATTTTATATACATTAATAATAGTAAATTTATATTAGATAATATAAAATTTAATATTGTCACTTTGTAGGTATATATTTCATAAAGTGTATACAATTTACAGAATCAAAAAATATCGAATACTATTTGAAAAATAAAAACTAGCGCAATATCATTTTTAATAGTAAATCATGAAAAAAATTAATTAGTGATTATTACTATATATCTTGCACTATGTTTGTGATTAAACTGATATTAGACACCTTAATAAATCATCTTTATACTCACGGGCTAAATTACACAAATTAATAAAATAAAATATGTAAAACTTGAATTTCAGAGTTAAATATGTATAATATACTTATAACTTACTCGAAACTATGTGAGCGATATTTAGATTACAAAATAATAGCAGAAATTGCAATTATTTTACTTTTTAGCCCATTCAAAAAATTCATCTGCACTCCGTTTCACGCCAATTCTATAATAGCAACAAATAGCAGTTTTAAAGATTCTGTTAGAGTTATTCATTTCAGCTAATTTTAAGTAATGCTTTGTGTTTATTCATTTTAATGCCAATATCATTATAATAACAAAGGCCAACTTGAAATATTCTGTTAGCACTATTCATATATTTTTGATAGTGTATGAACATCCCAATTTCATGTTCATACCCTTATCTGCTGATTTTTTACAATTAGCAAAACTTGATTAAAATTGCTGATAAGTTGAACAATACTAACTGTTTTGCCCATTTTTTAACTGATACTTTAGATAGCTTACAGAAAAAATTTTTAACGAAATTGTTACATTTATTTTAACTATTTATGTAATACCAGGAACGAAACTATATTGAAAATTTCACGTAGTATATGGTTATATTGCAATTCAAATCATTTCAGTTTCTTTAATTTAGTTTGTGAGTATAAAGATAATAATGATTATCCGGTATCCTACTATAATAGGGCTTTCCAAATAACTAAAGTTATTTGGCAGTTGTTTTTAATATAAAAAATGAATAACTTGAGTTATTTGGCAGTCTACGACTGCCAAATTACACAAAGTTATTTTTTATATTAAAAACAACTGCAAACAACTCAAGTCATTTGGCAAACCCAATCGTCATATAATATTGGATAATACTGTTATTGAATGTGAAGCGCCAATAACTTTCATATCTGGCAGTGAAACTTAATATGCCAGCCTCTGGACCCCTTCGGGGCCCAGAGTAGGCATACTCGAATTATTTTTTTCTTAAAATGATTGGCACGTGATCCTTCAGATCACATGTTAATCATTATGAAAAAATAATATATCTGATATAGTTATTGGATGCGAAGTTGTAAAATAATTCATTAGGAGTTATTGGCTAGCGTAGCATACAATAACGGTTTTATCCGGTGGTTTGCGACGATTGTGCTTCTAAATGACTCGAGTTTTGGTAGTGATTACATAAACTGCCAAATAACGAAGTTATTTGGCAGA